AAAGGCTGGTTAGTGGCACAAGGTTTTCACCAAATTCCTGGTTTGGACTTCTTAGATACCTCCGACCCGATTGTTAAACCCGTGACTATTCACACTATTCTCACCCTTGTCGTGTCTTATAGCTTGCCTATTCAGCAATTGGACAACAACAATGCTTTTTTGCATGGTTTTCTTGACGAAGATATCTATGTTTGTCAACCTCGAGGCTTTGAGGATCCCTCTCGGCCTGATTATGTTTGTAAACTTCGAAAGGCTCTCTATGGACTTTGGCAAGCTCCTCGGGCCTGGTATTCTCGTCCAGTGCTACTCTTACTCAAATGGGTTTTCGAAACTCCAATGCTGATCCTTCTCTCTTTGTCTATGATCGTGGAGGTATTAAACTTTTTATTCTTATTATTCTTACTGGGAATTCTTCACCGGCTATAGGTTTCTTGCTTTTTTATCAACTATTTTTTCCCTTGAAATATTTGAGCTCTCTTCATTATTTTTTGGGTATTGAAGCAAATTTCTCCTCTAATGGCTTGTTTTTATCTCAACAATACACTGTTGATTCATTGCACTGAATCCGACTTGATGGTGCCAAACCCGTCCCTACTCCGATGGCAACTTCTGATAAGCTGTCCAAGTTCTCTGGCACACTGTTAACTAATCATATAGGAGCATGGTTGGTGCTCTCCAATATGTTACTTTGACAAGGCCAGATATCTCGTTTGTCGTTAACAAGGTATGCCGATTTTTGCATTGTTCAGGAGCACTGATGCATAGTGAAGAGGTTTCTTCGTTACTTAAAAGCTACTGTCAACTTTGGTCTCCAATTTATTGCCTCACCGGATATCACATTAACTGGTTTCTTTGATGCTAATTGGGCAAGTTGCGTGGATGATTGACACTCCACCTGCGGGTATTCTATATATATATATATATCGGTTCCAACCTCATTGCTTGGAGCTCAAAGAGACAATCAATTATAGCACAAGCGAGTATGGAGTTTGAGTTTCGTGCTCTCTCAAACTCAATCATTGAAGTTTTCTGGCTCCAATCTCTTCTTGCTGACCCGGGGTTTTTTGTCTCGAGTCTCATCGCCTGGTGTAATAATATTGGAGCTACTAATCCATCTTCCATGTCGCACCAAACATACAGAAATCGATTATCATTTTGTTCGTGACTTTGTCCTATTGGAGGAAACTTTACATCCACTATATACCTTCCGGTGATAAAATCGCAGATGTCCTCACCGAACCTTTGTCTTCCTCATGATTCAACTTTTCAGTCCAAGCTTCACATTGCCTTGTTTAACTTGAGGAGGCGTATTAGCACATGTGGTCGTGATAGACTAGGCTAGGTGAATGAGAGCCCGTTTATCTTTGTCTAAACAAATGGATAAGGAGAGTTTTCTCATAGTTCTTGTTTATCATATCTTCTTTTTGTACATATATTGGAGTTGTAAACAAACTCAAACGTATCATGTAATCTCTGTAAAAACAACCTCGATTGGACTAATTCATTATCACCGAACCACAGAATTCTTCTTCAATTATTATTTGTTCTTCCCACTCTTATTGTTTTAAATGCGCCCAAGCAGAGATGCGGTTCATGTACAGTGTCGAGTTTCTGTGGGCCCTCATCCCTATTCCCTACCATACTGTTCTCCTTCAATAATTCAACGACGGCAGGGAAAGGAAGAGTTCTTCTATACCACAGACGTCTCGAGTTCAAATGCAGCGAGGAACCGAAGCAACAGACGCAGAACCCTAGTATCAGTACGTATCACCCTAGAGTGTTTCAGTGAGCGCTTTGAAAAATAACAACGTCTCTCTCTCTTTCTCTCTCTCTCAATCAGTGAGCAATAACGAAAGGACGAATCCGAGAATCATGACAACTATAGCCCACATGCAGATGATCAGAAAACAACATCCACTGAAGTCCTGCGTGGACCTCTCCAGCGACAAAATTCATCCTTCCGAAATGAATGCAGCCACCCAATATGCTTAATAAACCTTCCAAAATGAATCCAGCCACCCAATCTGTTGCATGCTTTTTCCTCGTCAGATTGACTTTTTTTTTTTTTCTCTTTTTATTTATCGTAAATAATCCATGCCTGTATTGCTTGGTGACATGTTTTCTTGAGACAAATAGACAAACTTTGTTGCCTGTTTGGTCTCGGTTCAGCAAAGAACAACAGTGGTTTTAAGCGGTCCCTGATTTTGATAAAGGGGCACCACACTACTTCGCAGGGAAAAAAAAATTAAAGAGAAAAAAAAGGTAAAAACCCTTACCTCTTGGCTCTTGCAGAATAACCAAACCAGAAATGATAAAAAATTATTCAACAATCAACACCCAGTACTTATATATCATTCAAAGAATTCAACAGATAGAATGGATTTGGCTATTCAGTCATGCAGATTTTGTATATCGAATATCTTGCAAGGATCCCATTTTAGCATCCAACCATGAGGCATGGACATCAGACTTACAAACCCATTTTTGTGTTTGGTTGATAACAGAACCATCAAGATATTAAGGAATATTCCTTTACCGATCGAAAGAAAGATATTGGGGATTTTATCTCTTTTCAGAAGTACATATTTTCAGGTGCCAAAGCAAATAGTTTGTCCAAAGGAACCCTATTTTCTTTTTCCATTTTTCTTGTTAATTTAGGGCATTCAATTCCATGTTCAATATTGAAATAAAAAAATAGCTTTTTTTTTTGTTAAGAATTGCTACAATGTTTGAAGAAGGTTCAATGTTTTCATGCCCTGAAACAAGCCAACAGGGCTGCCAACTGACTTGCTAACCGTGGAAGAACTACCCCAGGATTGTATATATAACCCCTCTTTACCAAAAAAATTTGTGAATCTAGCTACAAACTTATGCTAAAAAAATGGGAATAATATAATGTTAATTAATAAATTTTCCGCCTTATTATCTCTTTATTTTAATTAATAATTCCTCGAACTAGACTACTCTCTCAAGAACCAAAGAAGTGTAAATCAAACTGTCATCAACTTGAGAAAAGATGCACTTGGAGAAACTCAGAAAAGTGTGGAAAGCTTTTCAATCAACAAATGTCAGAAGTGATAGCGGTTAGGATTTTAAGTTTTGCCTCGTCGCCATCACCTCATGTCACATACATTAGGTTAATAGCTCCCTTCTATGTAGCCCCAAAACCAAAATAAGCCTCTTATTTTATTTGTGCCTTTTGTTTGAAATTTCCTTTTCTTGTTTTGTCATCCGAGGAAAAACAGTAGTCCAAACGAGGTAGTACAGGTAACAGGAAAAAGGGGTTTTTGTAGGCCTGAACAAGTTAAATAATTAATTAATTCCCTAAGGATAATCGTTTCATAAGTGCAAATAGCCTTAATAATAATCTAAAATTATTTGTTTTTCCTAATTTTGCTTTCCTTTTTTTTTTTGAATGAGTTAAATTGTTGAACCAGATGATTGTTCATTTGTTCCATTCAACCCGTGACCAAAGTAGTTTTTATCCAGTCTGAGTCTGACAACATTGTTTCCAACATTCAACACTACTCCTCGTAGTGAAGTACTTCATGAGAGCACATGATCATCATCTAAATGAAAGGCTTCTCATCATTAACGAGTTTGTTTGGTGGAGCCTCTTAATGAGAAGGTTAGTTTCTATGCATAAATAAATGTTTGAGCATAAGATTAATAATGTAAAAACCCCAATAATTAAAAGAAGTAATAGGCCAAATTTTGTTTCACAGGAATCTTAAAGTCAGAATCTGTGTACATATTTCAGTTTCTTGCTTCCTGCAGTAGTGAAAGGAAAAGGCTGAAGCTGTTATATATTAATTAGTGTGCTGTACATACAAAGAAAAATGGCTATTATTTTTCTATATATATATATATGAAGCGCCTTCCTCTTGGGGGAACCGTAGTTGTTGGATCAACATACACCACAAGAATCCTCAATAAACTAATCAAATTCTTGCACACGATAGGGTAGGTGGTTAGACAATAAAGTGTTCAATGCTCCATCCTCCTCTACATTGCAACAGGGAGCTCCCGCCAAATCAGATATTTAATTCCTGTTTAAAAAATCTTGAGATTTGATTGGCACGAGTTTTCAGGAACCATGCATATATGTTTACATTTTTTTTTGGAACCCACCGATGAGAGTTGAAAATTGAAACATTCGGGATGGGTTTTTTCTGAGAGATTAAATTAGGTTTGATTTGTGTTTAGAAAACACAGTTTATTAGAAGATCTTAGCTAGGCCCATACTAATATAACATTTTGTGGGTTTGGCTGAGCTAGCTGTTTTGATAAACTCATAGCCAGTCTAAAGTTTTGCACAACAAACGTATTTTCACGGCTAAAAATGCGGGTGAGGAGAGGCATGGTATATAGCAAAGGGATCTAATCAAATAGTAAACAATGTAAATGAGAAATGAGAACGAATTGCCCCTAAGGCCCTGTTCGTTTTTTGGTAAATTATTTATTTGGGTAAATGCAATTATTTGTGTAAGTTTTTTCGACTCCGGATTTCCTGCCTGTAGAAATTTTGCCTACATTTATCACAGCCACACATGGAGAACATCTCATCCTCTGCATAGTATTATGCAGGGGAGATGTTCCCATTTCACGGGAGGTAGTGTGTTGTGGGTAGACGTGGGCAGGAGATTCAGACTCGGTTTTTCTTGGGAAACACTTATTCAGGTAAATGCATTTACCCATGTTCTTTTATTTCTCATATAAATAAGACAATGACCATTTTAGCCATAAAAAATCATTATTAAAAGGGGCATTTTTGTCCCATTCAATTGTTGACAAATTTTCCCCAAAGTGGAAAAGTTATTTACCCACTCAGGAGATGGGTATTACTGATAAATGGTACCTAGAAAAATAAACTTTCATGTTCTCCATATAAATCTGAAAAAAAATAACATGAGATTCTTGGTTAATTCCTCTCTCTCAAAATCTAAAAAAAGAACACACCTAAATAATTTTTAGGAACCTAGATCTCGTTAAAGCTAAAACGAATTGCCGGTGGCTTGAGGCTTCTGGGCACCTGGTTAGGGTTTGGATGAGTGGGGGTGGGAGGAGAGTCAACTCGAATCCAGTGAACCCTTGGGTTCATGGGGAGCATGTACCCTCCGATAGGAGGCATGCACGTCTCCTTCATCAAAGAAGCCACTCCCGATAACATTTTCCTTCTGTTAAGCAGGTGAATCCGGTTCAACTGACGGTCAGAAAAGACAAAACAAACCAAAGACTTTCCTTTAGTTTGCTCTGATTCATTCGAATTCCCCTTTTTGCCATTTATTTTCATTCGGGCCCAAGCCAAGAGGCCGCCGGCGATTTCACTGCACAACCAAGCTCCAACAGCGTGGAGTCAATCGGTGGCAAGAATCAACCAGTGGTAAGCATCTATTCTTCTCCTTCTTCTTCCAATCTTCTTATTCTTCTTCGTTAATCTTCCTCTTCTTCAAATCTACTTTCTCTTCTTTCCTCTAATCTCTCTCCTCTTCTTATATATGTTTAGGGCTATTTTTATATTTGTTTAGGTCTCCACTATGGCATTTCAGATTCTTTTCACCTGATAGATCGATCTTCTTCCTAGACTTATCTTTTATTTTTTATTTGCAGGTATAAGCCAGGCGCTCCCATGGTTTCAGGCATTCCCACATGAAAAGGCTTGTCGCTTGTATTTCTCTTCTTTTCTGCTAATCTAAAATTTTTTGTTATTGACAAAACAAATACAATGGGACAAACCTCAAGCTATTCTCTCTAGTTTTCAGCTGGCTAGAAGGTTGAGCTTTAAAGCTTTATAGGTTTTTTTTTGGACTGTCCTATGCTGGTAGTGCTTGAAGAAAGATCATATATATCATCTTTCTTTAATAGTTGGTTTGTCCTTTCTGATACCCTTAAGGCTGCGTTTGAGAGAGGTGTAAAATCGAATCAGCGTAAATTTTACACCTCGGTTCGATTTTGCAGGCATTTGATAAATATATAATTTTACATCGAAAATTGATATAAAATTACATTTTACCGTTCAATTACATGATAATCGATGTAATAAATACATCAAAATTTTTTATGTATTTATTACAACTCTCTCTCTTTCCTTCTCTCTTCCTCCAAGGAGAACAAAGAGGCGGCGACAGCAATAGTTGACCATTGGCAACAGCCAGCGGTTGCCAGGGCGTTTTCCGACAAGTTTGTCTTCCTCTCAACTCTGACTGTTGTTCTGTTTCTCCTTCCTGTGCCAGCTTCCTCACACATGGCGGCGAACCACAAACCAGTCCTTGAATACCACGGTGGTCCTGTCCTCAACGGTGACCTGAAAATTGCCGCTGGCACCGTCGGCTATCCCAAATCTTCCTCAGTTTGGTTTGAGGGATTGAGTAACACCATGGACAGAGCACAAGTTTCTTACTAGACATGTGTTTTTACCGCCGCTCGCAGTGCTCTGTTTCTTGGCCGATTGGCAAGGACTGCAATCTTTCGGTTGCAGTTGACTTTTACCTCAATAATTTATTAAACAAGAAGAGTGTTAAACCAGACACATATCCGATTTTCATTTTACACTCTCATGAACCCATCGGTATAATAATCCTCGTTGTAAATTTAGATTTACACCACAAACAAACGAAGTCTAAGGAGATGAAAAGCTTTGATGCAGTTATTGTTAATCATATAGAAAGACAGTTAAGTGAAGTGACACTGTTTAGCTTCTCAGTCCTGTCTAAAAGGGGAATCATTGTTATCCTCCCCTTTCCTTATGAAGTTGTGTTAAAAAATTTGATGTACTGGCCCATTGGCTGTTCTAGTTTTAATGAATTATAACCTCATCTTTTACTCAAAAAAAAAAGATAAAATACAAAATTAACAAATACTTGTATTGGAAGCTTGAAGATTTCTATGTTGTATTGAACAAGAAAAATATTGAGAAGAGAACCCAGGAGAAGCAGTGCCTCTCATGAAACCAAAGTTCTATTATGGGCCCTGGAAAGTATTAAAAAGGGATTTCCTTCCACTCAACCATTAAATCAGACCTGTTCCATTGGGATGTAACCATTGATTTTTTTTTTTTTTTTTGTCACTTTATGTCACATATGCAACAAGCTTTACTAGTACCAATTGAACAAGAAATTTTGAGAAATGCCTTGGAATTGAAGCTATCAGGACATTACATTAACGTGATAACACCTATTGCTCTTTCATTAGAATGAGAAGAAAGTCTTTTGATCTTTTATCTGCCAATAGAATGCTTAAAATTTGTATTGAATGGTTACAACAGATCAATCCTATTAGAGCTCTGGTTATCAGGTAATTATGACTGCGTGATGAAAGTTGGTGGTAGAGCTATTCATCTCTTTCCTTTGATAGGGGTGTTGGTGTCGGGGAATAAACCACCACCTGCGGCAAGATCAGAAACAATGCCATCGCTAAACACAGTCACAAGGTATTGTGACATTAGTAGCATGTTTGTCATATTCATATTGGCAGAACCTATTATCATATTCATATCGTCCAGTGAGGAAAAACACAACAACCAACCAGCGGCACCCCCTTCTCGCTCCGGTGGCAGCGATGAGTCCTTTTTGAATGAAAATAGAAGGGTTGAGGGGAGAGAGAGACGAGAGGTTGAGAATGGAGAGAAAGACCAGAGAGAAACAGAGGTGGAGGGGGAGGTCTTAGAAGAGAGAGAGTGGAGGCTCAGGGTACGAGGGCAATCTTGGGTTTTAAAAAAATTGTATAAGTCACATGTGGTTACATGTGCATAGATTATAGATTGTGACGGAGCATCAATGGACGTTAACAATTGGGGTAGAGTTAGTCAATTGTTAGAAAGAGTAAGCATAGTGTTAGTCAGTTTTCAAACAATAAGGATACACTTAGTCAATTAACTAAACTATAAGAACAGTTTAAGAAATTTACCCTTTCTTAAAAGCAAACATTAAGAACATCTCTCCATACAAGTACAGAGATATTGTAATGTATGATTAGATGTTATATTCTTAGAGTGTTCATATACTTTTGTGAGTTCAAATACTTTTTTTTTTTTTTTTGATAGCAAGATCTGAGCTCCATTTATGCAATGTTTATGAAAACAAAAAGGGGGTTCTATTGATTCTTCCACCTTACTTGAAAGTGGGGAATATATGGATGGGATTTGAAGCAATAGAGATAATCGTGCGTTTAATGTATAACTCCTGATATTCATGATGGATTTCAAACTGTTAACAATGACGATAAGAAAAGCTTTGCTCCATGTCCCAAATCAGAAAAGTAAACTTATTTGAAAGAAAAATTGGAGAGACTAGAGAGGGTGGTTGGGTTAAAACCGCAGTTTTCCTTCACTCATCTTCAAATCTCTTCCTCTCATTTCTGCATTGATTTACCATTTAGGGAGCATTCCTTTTTGAGATCTTGAGAGAAAAAAATTTGATCAATAGGATTTTTGTTTCTATTGACTAAGAAATTCATATTTTTTTTTTTAGATTTATGTGAAGATCAAGGAAAGAAAAATTTATTTCTTTGAGTATCATTTAAACATATGTGATAAATTAACTTTTATGTTATGAAAAAATTGTCAACGAGACTAAAATATCTTTTTTAATAATAAAATTTTAATGATTAAAATGATTATTATTTTATTTAACCGAAAAACAAAAGAATATGAATAAACACAGTTATCGGAATAAATATTTCCTTTACCGGAACAAATGAGTTTACTCAAATAAATAATTTATCAAAAAGCAAACAGGGACTTAAGTCGGTTGGATCGATCTGTAAGCTGATTTCTTCTTTCTCATTGCAGCACTGTACTGAACTAAGATTCTTCTCTACCTTACAAGCAAAGCCTTTGGTTGGAAGCGAAATCCTTTTGGGTAATTAGTCCAATAAGTGGGACCCAGTAAAAGGTGGCCATGCATATGCATGTGCGCCACTTATAAAGCGCAAATAGGTAATTGGAAGGTCCTGACTCTGACTCCTGATTCCTGACAAGTATTCTCTCTTTTTCTCTCCTAAATTTAACTTCACTGCCAAACAGTAACCGTAAAAGTCTATAACTGTATATGAAACAGATAAAAATTCAAGCTATATCGTAGAACTCAGAACTCAGAGCCACACGACGTCGAACACCTTTTGACTCTCGGTGTAATATTTATTCCAGCTGTTGAGATGGTGTTGATTTGATTCAAAGTTGGGTTCTTTCCTCTTTGCGAGCAGCCTTCACTCGCTACATCATGAGCAGAAATATTATTCTTGAAGTAAGCTATTTTTTGCCTTGTAAAAGAAGCATAGAAGGCTGTAGAAGGGAGTGAACGTGACAGGCACCATTAAGCTCCGTCATGATGACGGTGATACTTATCTTTTTTTTGTTAATATATAACTAAGCAAAATCAAGAGAGAGAGAGAGAGAGGGAGAGGGAGACAAATATCGTAGGATTTGATCCTTAAGTCAGTCGGGTCGCCTTCAATTTTTTGATCTGAAATAAGTCTGTCAGAGGAATTGGGAACAAATCAAATAAGTTGTTCCGAAATAATTAAGGATGGAATCAGACTTCACCCCTGAAGCCGCAGAGAAGTAAGTTTCCTCTTTTAGGGTCTCAAGTGTGGTGTCAGTGGAGTCTCTCTGTTGGCTTACACCAAGCTAGCTAGGATCCTATACTAAAACGCGGATTGATGAATGGATGGAGCTCTCAACTATGCTACATAACATACATGGACAACTCGCTTTTGGTTTTGGGGTATCTGGAATTCCAGTTCCACCATAGACGACCCGTCCAGCCTTGCAAACTTTTACCTAACCAACACAGTTTTCAGGAATTTTCCAAGAAGGCTAGGCTGGCCCCCCTCTGCCCTCTGCTGATGGAACCTTTTTTTTTTTTTTTTTTTTTATCGTCTGGCTTATTAATACAGAATGGGGCCTACCCCTCTTAATTAAAGTTGTATTTAAGGAGTAAATTACATATCAAACACTCAATAATAATAGCGCCTGGTCTCTTTTTATATGGAGGAGTCCACTTTCCTCTGTCGAGAGAGAGAATGGCGTCTACTGCGACTGGAGTAGGCATCCAAAGGGATCGCATTGATCCCGACTTTCAGCCGAAGCAACGTTAGGTTTTGATGAATCTGGATCATGCAATCCCTTTAGAATCCTACTCTAGTTGCTCCTGACTTCGGATACGGTGGATACTCTCTTATCCTGCGCCCACATTTATTATGATCCATAACAACACGGCCATCAACGGCAAAGCCATCCGATCGAGGACGGTTTCGCCAGGCCAGTTTAGATCACAAGTACTTGCTCGTTTTCCTTTACCTTGCATATTTTGTTGCTTCGCATTACACTTTCACGCGGTCTTTCCCTCCCCTCCCCCCTTTTTGTAGATTTTTTTTTTTTTTTGTTCATTATCTTCATTGCTATCATCAACAAAAATATTTATTGTCTTCTTCTTCTCCATCCTCCTCTGAGAATAATGATCTTTACAATATCCACTCCACTTGCTAGTATGTAAATTTGCTTAGATCGATCTGCATGTTTTGTTATGTTAATCTGACAGAACAAAATGGACTTTTGGCTGGGATTTTCGGATTAACTGCTTATGCCAAGTTTAAAAATTATTCCTACGTTTTGCTTATGCGTGGAAGTTTGGATCAGACTCGTGACCCCAGATGAAGACACATGGGTCCTAATCTCTAGAGCACAACGAAACTCGACCACAGAAGAGAGAGGTAGGTGTAAACAAACTTCAAACTACAGTACACACGCAGAGAGAGAGAGAGAGACTGGTCGTTTCCTTTTTTTGCTTCATGGGGCTACACTCATAGAGACTGTTGTTAACTTGTTATTGTACCCTCACCTCTCTCTCTCTCTCTCTCTCTCTCTCTCGTATGTATTTTATTTCTACTTTTATTTTTGTTGGCCTTGCGGCCCTTGCCCGATACATTAGAGTTTTATTTAGACTTTTGGTTTTCCTTTCGTAAGTTGTCGGTTAGGAACTTGAGGAAATTTGCAGTTCTGTCTTCTATTTTTCCCTCTTATGATCTTATCCATTCCATTTGTAGATAGGCGCATAGATTTTCACATTGAGATTGATGAAAGCAATTAAAAACACTTGTATGACGATTTTGATTCACATGTTTCGCGTACTTGTTAAGATGGAAAAGAAATGATAAAGGATTAACTCCCCCCCTTTTATATCCAGATGCAGTATTCTAAGCTCCAGCCATGTGGCAAGTTTCAGCCATTCATTCAGAACGTATAAGCACCGTACTCAAGCCCAGAATCGGTCTTTTTTTATGGATTCTGGAACGTTGATTTGGAATCTTAACTCTATCCATGCCTGAAGGAAACTCATCTAGCTTTTGCCAAGTTGGTGGCGTATATGGTTCAGTCTTCCCTTGGTCTGGCCCAAAGAAAGGAAAAAGTAAAATGACAAAACTGGATTGAGATAACCGTCCCAGATGGAATAAAGGTTTACTGTTTGCATGAGGTAGATGGAATAAAGGTTTACTGTTTACATGGGCGATGATGGCAAATGGCAATAGCATCATGATACTATTCATGATACATCAATAACTAATGTAATGAGAGGTAGAGGTAGAGGTAGAGGTAGAGCTACAAAAATGCAAAAAGCCATTTTCCAATGGAACAGTGAGTGGCTTTTATTTATCTGACAAGTTGTTAGCTGTAAATTTCAAATCATTACACATCTTTCAATCAATTTACTTCCACTTTTCACATTGAAAAAGAGAAAGCAGAAACAAATCTTCACCCCATGCAATCAATTTGCCTGGTTAAGCTATTCTCTTCTCGCACAGTTCAATTGGACTTGGACTATCGCGTATGAAACAATACAACAGCCCTCGACTTCCCACCCTCTCTCAAGTCTCACCCTCCGCTTTTCCCGAGAAGAGAGGATAGTGAGTTAATTTCTTTTTTGATAATCGGATAGAGAGAGTTGGGAGTTGGGACAACTCAAAAGAGACTCGTTTTCTGAAACCAAAGAAATAATAGATCACCTCGATACTCGATATATCTCACCAAACTATTCTTTTAAAGGTAATGGTATTTTGTGATGATGTCAAAATTTAATTCTCACCATCCTATTCCACCTCTCTGCCTCTCACATTCACCTCTTTGTTGAGCAGAAGATAAATAATTAATATACGGAGATTGATTTTGTTGAGAAATGGCATAGTTTGGTGTTGATCTAGTATATGTTTGGCATGGATGATGTAGATACAGAACTGTTTTTTGAGAAAATAGTGTTATATATATATTTTTTCTTTTGGAAAAGTTGTTGCAAGGTAGAACGTTTTTTTGAGCAACATCATCATTTTCTGTTTGGTATCAGTGCTTTATATCTGTTTTCAATATTAATACCCATTATAGGAAGTTCACCTTACTATTACATCTTGTCTTCATTGGCAACAATGAGCTGCAATATGAGAAAACGTCAAATTTGGCATTGCTCCAAATCACGCCTTCTCGATTTCTAAGGTGTGACTTAGAGCAATGTTTTTTTATAGAAAAAACGATTCCAAACATAAAAATGTTTCATGGAGCACCCATTTTCTAGAGGAACGGTAACAACATCGGTAAAGATGGTTGGCTGTTGAACAGAGCTGTGGTGAGTAAGAAGGTCCACTAAAAGGGGAAGGCCTCCTTAGGTGCTGCTTTAATTTGTAGGCAGAGTTGAAAACATCTGGAGCTCACTATGATTGTTTGTGGACTGAATTGAGAAGGGTTGATGTTATCCGTTCCATTTCTCTGATCTTTCTCCTACCATAGATAGGAGCTCACTATGCTGCAAAATCTGCCTAATTTTCACAAGTTTTCATCCAAAAATCTACAAATTTAGCGATCCAATGGGTTGTTCCCAGCCTAGGGTTCCACGGAGCATCAACCATTCCTTCAGTTTTTCTTCAATTTCTGGGTTGAAATATATAATTACTTTGAATTCTTATCAATTTTAGTAATTTCTACTTTTTTGTTGAAATATATTTCTTTTAATTTTTATCAACTTGTTTTTGTTCTGCAATTTTTTAGGACAAATTAATGATTCTCCCACCTCCCAATTTTGTCAATGTTTGTAAGACATGTGGGGAATCTGACACAATTCATGGGGTAGGTGGGTGATAAGTGGGGGTTTTACAAAATAAATAAATAAATAAATTTTTTTGAGGTGAGATAGACTATAATTTTCACATTTTTATCAATTTGTATTTTTTTCTATAAGCTTTTGCGTTTTTTCTACAAATTCATCATTTTCCGTGTTTTTATTATTTTTTGTGCGTTTTTAATATTTTTATTCTTTTTATTTGACTGAAATATTTGTGTTTTCTTAATATTTGCATGGGGTTAGTATAGTGGGCCATATGTGTGGGTTAGGGTGGGTCAGGGTCAAGGTGGGTTGTGACCCACTAACACCAAATTAATATGGGTGGATTGGTACGCAACCCACATCAACCTAACTCAATCCACCCATTTGCCACCCTTAGGTGTGGAATGGTTCCTGTATGTGTCTTTAGATTCTTTTCTTTTTTCCTTTTATTTTTTCTTTGGGTTGTCGCAGGCAAATGATGAGATCTACATAACTTTTGGTTCCCATTGATTAGGAAATCTATGTTCTTTTTTTCGATTTATGACGGCCAGGTTTACAGAAAAATTATTTTTCTTAGGTATCTCCTAGGCGGGGAAAATTGGCAATACTTGGGTGGGACAAAATTACCATTTTTAATAATAAATTTTTATTCCTAAAATGGTTGTTTTTTTATTTATCTGAAAAATAAAAAACATAAATAAATGCACTTACCCAAAATAATGTTTCCTGAAAATATTTATCTGGATAGGTATAGGTACATTTACCCAAATAATACTAAAGCAATAGTAGGTATACCGTAAGAACGAGATCTGGGTTCTGTAGAACAAATTAATCTCGCCAATAAATGAATTCCTGTTGCTCTATTATAGTTAACAATCAGGTCTGGAAATTGGATCACACAGTGAGCACTGAGTCTGTAGATGGGTAGGTGGGCTGGAGATGGTGCCAGGTATGGGCCCACAACTGAGTATAAGCCACTAGTGAGGTGGGTGTTGGACTCTAGGTGGGCAATAGAATGAATATATGGACAAGAGTGTACAAGTTAGTCTTGTTTAAATGGGAAGATATGTAGGAGGGTGTCCCCCTCCTACACTACAAAGGAATTATGAATTCCACATAAAGGGCCAAGACTCCAGAAATATGATTTTCATTTTTCATATTGATGTGGTGAGTGTGGATGAAGCCACCACTACTTGCCTTGGCTCCATTTTTTCCACCCAAATCACAAATTCAGTCGTGCTTAATTAAACAACAAACACCAATTAATTACTACTTGAATCCTTTCTTTTGTTTCTTTGTTTCTGTGACTCAATTTGGAAGGAATACAAATACAAATGTGTAGAGTGGAAAATCCTATATTTTGTATTATTTTTGTGTATTTGCCCTGTACATATTTGTATTTATTCTTTTTTCCAAATTGAGCCTTTGTTTCTTCTTTCATTTTTTTTTCTATTTTCTATCAAATTTATTGAATTGCATGTGCATTTACACTTGAGAGAAAGAGAATGGACTAAAGCTTTTCCTTGTACTTTGGGCTTGGGGCAAGGCCCGCTATGTCTTCCCCTGTATCTTTTTTATAATGATTTGTTTTTAATACAATTTTAAAGTTGCTGCTCCTTCACTTAGAGTTAAGTTTGAGGCTAAAAAAAAGAGAGAGAATGGACCAAAGTTTTTAGAATTGCCGTCTTAACGTGAGGCCTTACCATTGCTCTTCTTCTCCCTCAAAACTTCAATCTTCAACTTGCAAGTTGCAAGACATTAGGATGTCTTTGATTATTTATTTAGCTACTTTTTCGAATAATAATAATAATAATAAATAATAATAATAATACAAAACAAGGTGTTATCCCAACTACATCCACCCAAGTTCTGTTCCGGCTTCCTTACCTCATCTTAAATCCTGAGCTAGCAACTAGCGTTACATCATATTATATCATTCGTGTAATAGGTGGTTTAACCACAACAATAAAGATATGGTCTAGTGTATAGAATATAGGGTCAATGAGGCTTGGGACCCGACTTGTGGATATATGAGAAACCAAATGACTGATCCAGATCATCCATCAAGTAGAGCACCCTCAGATGACATGAGTCATCAAAATATTGATACATCACCGTATATTGGAGTTTCCATCAAATAAAATGACATAAGTCATTCAAATCTTCATCTTCAAGTCAGAAGGATGGCTTAGAATGATGGCAAGAAATTTGTATAAAACAGAAAATGTACCTGGTGGAATTGTATCCAAGGGCCTGCTTTTAAGTTCCTCATCATGCTCTAGTTTGATTTGGGGCAAATTTCAAGACATATTAAACCCAAGCTGTGTCTAGCACCTAATTTGTTTTTGAAAAAAAAAATATATATGATATTTTTTTATATTGGGATATAAATATTTTCAGTAAATTATTAAAAAAAAAGGTTATTCAATGTGATCTCTTCAATGTGGCATTTAATTTAAACATGTCTCTTAAGTGTATGAATTCGTAAGGTAAACCCCAACTTCAGGCCCAAATTTTGAGTATGAGCATAGGCTAGAGAGGACGCTACTAGAAGGTTTATGTTAAAGAAGAAGAAGCATTACTGGGGATAATTACTATTAACAAATTTAAAATGCTTTACTAGAAAAACTAGTTCATATTATTTTCAAAGGAGAGAACCTGATTTCTTGAGCAAATCACAATCTAATTGGACAATTATAATTTCTAAAAATTGGGACATGCAAGGGAATTTTTTAATTTAGTGCCCAGAATCTGCATGTTATTTTGAATTGATTTTTGAAATCCAAGCAAAAATTCCAGTGTAATCAGACCACCATATTCATCTTTTTCTTTTTCTTGGAAAATTATGATACGGCAGGTCCATCAACAGGCCAATGCATATATCGTTGCATGGATGATGCCGCAGAGCCCATTTGCAAGAAACTGTGATGGGCCTTCCCGTATAAAAATTTAAGTTAATAATAGTGTGGGCCGTGGTCATGCAATACAGTTGAATTTTTAAGGCATTAAAAAGGTGTCTTTTTTTTTTAATCAATTGAAATTAAGCATATGTTTGGCATCAATGCTACCAATGTGTGGGTTCTCAGCACCGTTTTTTGAAAAAATGGTGTCTTTTTTTTATTCTTTGGAATCGTTGCTGTTAGATAGGACATTTTGTGAAGCAATAGCAACTTTTTCTGTTTGGTACCAATACTTCAGGAAATGTTTTCAGCACTGGTACCTATTATCCAGTGCCACATCACTGCCACCTCACATCCATGTTGGCAGCAACGAGCTACAGCTCTAGAAAACACCAAATTCGGTGTTGCTCCAAGCCATGCCTGGCTTCTTGATTTCTAAGGCGTAGCTTGGGTCACCATTTTTTTTATGGAGAAACGGTTCCCAACATACGCCCGTTTTCTGGAAAAACGACAACGATGCCAAACAGATGCTAAATAGATCATGTGATAATTTCAATATGATTGGTTGAAATTTGGGGTTCGACTATGATATGGAAAAGATATGATATCCCCAAAACAACTGACCAATAAATTATAATCATAAACATGATAGCAAATAACGTGTTTTTTTTCAAAATTGATAAGTAGATTTTGATTGATTAAAACTCTTTTCATACCATATCTTTCCCGCAATTTTATATTATAAATTGATCAAATAAAACGGTTATAATCAAATATACTGCACTGGATCCATCGATAAAATGTGTATGCTCTCCATAAAGTTTTATAGTAAATGAGTTCAGTAAATTCTCGCCCAGCCCAAACAAATCCTTCGTTAACATGCTACTTATTCCCGGATGATGCAGATGCACATAAATTTTAAATAGAGACAACAGGATCTGAAATTCGATTATACTATGGATGGAGCAGGAGCGGGAGAAGCAAAGTCCGTCAAGGAATCAATCAATGGAGCATCTCCATTACTGAGAAGTTCGATCATTTCACGATGCAGGTTGTTACGTTGTGCCTCACATATATCCGGCAAAAATACACCTATTCATATTTTGAAAATAAAATAATAAAAGCATTAGATATACAATTTTGCTTGTATTGTATGTATGTATGGTTGGTCCAAAAACACTATCAAAGGTTTTTCCTTCAAGTCTTTTATTTATTTTTTTTAGGTAGGAATTCCTTTTCAGAGAATAATCAGATCCTTTTTCATTTTTTTTTCCTGTAATTTTCTTTTTTTTTTAATTTTTATTAGGGTCATTTACTAAAATACCCTCTATAATTTCATTACTTAACTAAAACCTACCTTATAGTTTGGGTTTTACTAAAACACCCCTATATTTTATAATCTAATTATTTAATTGACCCTCCATTAAATGACAGTTTTGACCTTAATGTCCATTTGAATAAACTTAATCAAATAGAAATATAAATAAAAAATATCATCTTTGCCCTAGTAAGTGCCAAGGTACCGACCTACTTCTGAATTAAACAAACATTTTTTTAATTAAATAGGCTACAAATTATAAGGAGTACTGTTTTAGTAAAATGAAAATTATAAATAATTTTAATTAAATATATGAAACTATTGGGGTGTTCTAATAAATGACCCTTTTTATTACTTATAAATACATTTAATAACTTATTCAGGTGACATCTGCCATTAATTATTTGATTAGAATCAAAGCAAAGAAATCATAAGTGATACTTAACAACTCTTTCTTCTTACCCCCTCCCCCTTCCTTTTTTTTTTTTTAATTTATTTTATGATTTCTTTGCTTTCAGGATATTGGTATTTGTTAAGTTTTGAAGAAAAGAATAAATGTTCTCAATCAGCCGCTAGTTGGCGTGGTTGGCCTATCACAGACCTCAGATCTTTAAATCACAAGAATAGAAAGAATAAACGAGGTTTTTTTTTTAATATTTTTTTTTTCCTGCAAATACAGAGGAGTTATGGGTTGTTGAATCCTGTACTCTTGTGATATAAAGGTCCCTGACAGCCAAGCATTAATTTGGCCTTTCTTTTTGGGAATTAGTTAAATTAATTTGTAAGAGAACTTAATAAAATCAAGGACATGAATCTGATGTGTTCATTCTCCTACATGAAGGAATAAAATAAAGAAAAGAATGCATGGGACAATTTTTTCTAGTGGAAGTGTTTATTTTATTTAATTGTTTTCTTCTTTTTATTGGCTGTTTTCTTAAGGTAATGAAAAGTAGTAAAGTAGTGTTTGAGGGTACCTTCTCCTGCAGCCAAATTGAAGTAGAGGTCGACGATGTTGGGGCAGTTATCATAGCAGCCAATAGAGCAAAGCTGAGCGGTGAATTGTGATTCAAGGAGGGCATCCGACGAAATGCCGACGGAGTTCCTATCCAACCCACAAGCCTGGATGCACTCATCCGTCTCAATCCAACCAGCCATATTCTCCACGCTCACGTTGGATGTCCTGCATTGATATTCTACGTTTCCGTCCTGTGCCGCGTACGTCTCCAATGTGCATCTCTGTCCTGAGGATGATATGGAGAAGGCGCAGATGTTTTTCGGCAATTCCTCACATACAATCCCTTCGCCTAAACATCTCAAACACCATGCATGCATCATTCACAATTAATGAGAGAGAGAAAAAACAAAAAGAATATTCTGTAATCAAATAAAAACTATATATATATATATATATATTAATAGAAGATTGAGAAAGGCTTTCAAGTAAAGCTAGATTACGTACCTACACCTCCATGGACATAGGTTGCGAGAGCAAACAAGAAGGTCAATATCTTTTCGGAGGCAGAAGCCATGAATGGATCGATCAAAGAAAACTGGTATTCGTTTGGGTTTGTTCTCTGTGTTCGATCGAGAGATGATGAATGAATGGAGGTGCGAAATGAACGTATGCGAAGGGGACGAGGGTGGTGCTGATATAAATATAACGAAACAGATCGGACAGCCACCTACTCGGGGTCAGGGCTCTGTCTCTTAACACCAAGGGAGATATATTCCAATTTTCCAAGTACCAACGAGACTCGGCCTCTAAATTTGGGCAGGCGTTGCACGGTTGGACGTCCTTTTCTGGATGCCGTCCCCTATGGCGGAGCTGAGCTCACGCGCACCCTCACTGCTGTAACAACTAACAACTTGAGACGTGTTCGGATCAAGGTCCCAACTTTGAATCAATCGTGGGACTTGGGGATGGGGATCAGATAATACTCCCAATCATGCCATGATCATCGCAATCCAACGGTTGATTCGGAGGTAGTATGTATATATGGAATTTACAATACGCACTAATCTACGCAATCTTCGTTCGTGTGCAGCAAGAGTGCAAAACAAATTGGTGGAAGGTGATGGATCAACGTGTCAACCAGAACCGGAAAAGTAGAGTGGTTTCTGGAGACTGGTAAGTTAGTTGACCTCTCAAATGGACACAATTGACCGCTCAGCCAACGGCCCAACGTGTCTATTTATTACACTTCTTTCTCAGCGTAAAACATAAGCTTATTGAGAAATTGTTGAGCCAAAACAAAATGCGTATTAACTAATACTAGTATCGTCTTGTTATAGAGTATAGACCGGGAGGATTCCGCTCCCTCACAAGTCACACATCTCACAAGTAGTAACATGTGTAAACAATCTACAGTACTGGCTAGGCCGTTTGAACCAGTTGAAGGGTCCCACAGCTTAACTACAATGATCCATACATGCAAGGTTAACAACTTTACCCTAGTGGGGCAGACTCACCCATTGGAATGCAAATTGGGCGGCCTGAGTCGGGTTTATGGTCAACCCTGGCCTAACCCAAATCCTGAGCCCGAGGTTAAGTCCATTCTTTCCAACCTGGGCCCAATCCATCCATCTTGAAATTTGATGCATTTGAGGTTGGCCCCAGGCAGCACTCAGATTTGTTAATGAACCCATTTAAAAATTTGACACACCTGTATGCATTTATTTAAATATGTATGCAAAAATGTAAATATACATTTATATAGTCAAGCCAAACTCAGGTTGGGATAAAGTCGAACTGAATTCAGGTTATCTAATGGTTAGGCCCAGGCCCAACCAAAAAATTAAAAAAAAAAAAAAAGCAAATGGACTTGGATTGGACCCGCCCAAGTTAAATCTCTACTCACCCCGACGACTAAAAGACAAACCAGCTTATCACTTATTAGGAGGTTGTTTAGCTGTAGCATATCTTTTTACGCCCCCTAGCGTGTGAGTGGGGGCTTTGAGTTGCGTACCAACTGAACTTGGACTGTTGGACAGGCACAGACGCAGCTAGTGGTGGCTCCTAACTTGAAAGAATAATGCCTTGTCAAAAAGAAAAGAAAGAATAACGCCTTTTGACTTATTCACACCGCAACGGTATACCGAGAATGTTCTGGATATAACATCCTTTATCCTTTCTTTTCGTCTGACTCAATTAAAGCTGATAAAGCCAGACCCGCGAAACAGGGCTATATTTCGTGTCCTGGGCCAGGTTGGGCCTGAGCCTAGATCAAGCCCCTAATGCAATATGAAAAGCCCGGCCCATCCCATGACCCCTAGTGCCCAGTCCATTAGAAGTCTGAAATCAACCTGAAGCAGAGATTTAGAGCAAGTCTTATCTTATTGACTTATAATAACTAGTTAAAATCTCTAGTTTCAAAAACTCTCAAGATATGGAGATATCCTCGATGTAGACATGTGGAATGTGGAGCAAGGCTTTGAACAATTCAAGCGTGTTTACAAAGGTTGTTCTATGCTTTTTCCCCTTGAATGAGGGAATCATGAACATGTGGACGAATCATATTACCATGGGGAATTATGAAGGCAACATTTATATATGCTAATGTATGACATACGTGGTCTATGATTTAAACAAAACTGCTGCAAGAAAGTGATTTATTTTGCCACTTGTCAACATGAGAGAGTAAAGTGGAAATGCATGGAACCATTTCTGGGTTCACTACTTGACCACAACATAGAAGATCCCTATGAGGTATTCATTCCCTGCGACTGTGTTGTGTTGGGACCAGTGTGGAAGTGGAGGTGCAAGAGAAAATGAAGCGACCAACGCCCCATGTTTCTAGGATTTTAATATTTGGGTTCATTTCTACAGCAGATCCAGATTCAAGAACTGATGTATTGTAATTCTGATCCCCCTTTTATCTCTATTTTTCAAACACAGCTTAAATGTCAAGGCCGACTAGTATGTTGGCTAGCATTATTAATAAAACAGCTAGACAACATCTAGGATTTAAAATAGGCCACTTTGGGCCAGGACAAGATCAACCTGATCTAAATATTTGCTAAAGAGTTATGAATTGGAGCCAGGCCCTAAGTTGGGGTAATTTACTTGGTCTAAGGCTATATAACCTAGTTTGGTTTAGGCATTATGGATTTGGGATGGCCCTTGTTCATGTAAACTTCAAAGAGGAACCGTATAAGTTTTTCTTTTTTAGAGAGGAAAAACTTTGGCTGTTGGGGGCCAACAGCCTTTTGAGAGAGCTTTTGGGTTGGGCACGTTAGCATGAGTGGGCAAATTAGTAATTGCCTTTTGATTTTTTTTAGTAAAAACAAAAGTATGCCTGTGAATTGATGAACGTGCCCAATCCAGAAATCTTCCAACAGAAAAGGCTGTTGGCCCCCAACAGTCAAAATTAACGCGTTTAGAGAAGCCCACAAGATTCCACATGGCAACTTGTTTTTGGACCGTATATAGTTTGGCTTCAGTCAGGACACACTCTATACGCGCACAGCTCGCGCAAACGGAAGGTGCGCCACATGTTTTTTCTCTCATGTAACTGCTGAAAGCGTGTGAAGCCAATTAATAGCGTTGATAGGAGATGCCGTTAGAATTCATTCGAAAAAACTGTCAATTGCCGCCTTGCACCAAACCCTGTTCCCTCCTGTTCTCTCCCTCTCCAATCAGCGGCAACCACAACTACCACCGACAATTGTTAACACCGGCGACTGGAGGATAAATTCAGGTGTTTTTTATTTTTTTCAGTTTTTCTTCCCCAAAACATTGCCATAGGTATTGCATTTCATTCTTAACTTTTGTTTCCCCAAAACCTAAATCATAGCTTCATCTTCTCTGTGCGGCGAACGGCAACCGGCGAACGGCAAAAATCAGGTATTGCATTGCCTTCCGTTTGTTAAACTGAAAAAAAAAAAAATAACAACACCCTAGTTTATCCTCCTGTCACTGGTGTTAACAATCGCCAGTAATAATTGTGGTCGCCGCTAGTTGGAGAGGGAGATAACGGGAGGGAACAGGATTTGGTGCAAGGCAACAACGAGCAATTTTTTCGAATGAATTCTAACGGAATCTCCTATCAACGCCATTTAATCTATGTTTGGTTTGAAGGAAAAGATAAGGAAAGGAAGAGAAAGATAAGAAAATTTATACAAGATTTGTAAAGGTTTTCCTCAAAGATTAAGGTATCGATACGATAGTCTCGATATTGGGCGTATCGTATCCGTATCCATGATCATGGGTACAGGATACACTACGACTGGATACATAACCCATGAGTTGTGCCTATCGGTATGATATGTTTCCGTATCACATCGTATCCACTAATACGCTCCAATACATACTGATAGGAGGCGTATCCGTGTCTAGTTTGACAAAATTGTACATTGAGTACTTTTGAATTGTTTTTCATCTTTATTACAAGTTAAAAAAAATAGCATTATGAAAACTGAAATAAATAATTTAAGATTTAATTTTTTACAAAAAAACTTAATAAAAACTAAAAATTATAAAAAATAATATATTTCATCTACCTTAGATGATTTATATATTTTATTTTACACATAAATATATATTAAAAATGAAAACATAGTTATTATTTGAAAAAAAGTTATTATATAAAAATATTAAATAAATAAATTTTCCCAACAAAATTAATGGAAAACAAAAAAATATAATTATAAAAACTGAAACGAATAATTTAAGATTAAATTTTCCCAAAAGATTTAATAAAAACTGAAAATTAAATATAATTTATTTTATCTACCTTAAATGATTTATTTGTTTTATTTTACAATTATGTGTAAAATAAAACATTATATTTTAAAAATGAAAACATATTTACTATTTAAAAAATAGTTATTATTTAAATAAAATACTAAACTAATAAGTATTCCCAAAAATTAATAAAAATTGAAAATTATAATTATAAAATTGAAAGAATGATAATTATTGTACTATGTTTGAATGTTTTAGAGTAATATTTCTCTAGAACATTCAAACATAGTACAACCTATTGAAGTATGCATTTCTCATATATTTATATCTTATTCATAGATAATTCAGCTTTTGGTTTAATATTATTAATGAATTTATGTATTTTGTATGCATTTTACTAGTCTAGATACCTGGAATCCGGTTACACTTCTGAGCTCCAACTCCGCACAATTCAGTCTTCCTGAATCTAGCCCAGAATCACAGATAATATAAAGTCTTCTTTTTTTTGCGAGTTACTTGCTCAGTCGATTCAACATAAGGCTGGGCTCTGTCTTAGCCCAAGCTCCAGCCCTCATCCCAGGTTCTCAATTCAACTCCAGACTAGACCGAGCTACACTTGCCATTTTACTTATACCTCCAAGAGATTTCGTTGGTTGTGCTTGTGCAATGAGCACCAGTGATATTTTTACTTGCAAGAGTTTTCATCGATTTGCCTTCATAAAAAAAAAAAAAAAGTAACGTCAATAAATTTCTCCCAGTAAAGGAGGACACAAAATGGAACATACAAAGGAGGAAGGAGGATAAGTGGGGGCCCATTAGAACAGAAAATCTTCGCCAGCCTCACTGACGCTACCTAGCTTCAGAGTTGGAAAAGAGAGAAAAACATTAATTGAAACTCGGACGAGGACTCGTAGCTAGCTCACAAGAAGAAAAAAAAAATCAGGAAAAAGAACGATAGGGTAGTCATGGTTGCAGCAATCTCAGCAACGTGGTCTCAACTCCTTTTCTCAAGCTCTCGTTCTTCTATCTCTCGTCTCTCTCCTTTCCATTTATGTGTTTCCGATGCTAAGAAGCTCTTTGCATGTCCCGCCACCAGCAAAAGTCATGGCTGCACCGGAGGATCCACAACCGGAATCCGGTGCTCGACTGTTGGAACTGAACCTGCCACAGAGACAAAGAAGAAAGGCGGATACGAAATTCAAACATTAACCAGCTGGTTATTGAAACAGGAACAAACAGGGAACATAGACGCGGAACTCACGATTGTTATCTCTAGCATCTCCATGGCGTGTAAGCAAATAGCGGCGCTAGTGCAGAGGGCTAGCATTTCGAACTTGACAGGAGTCCAGGGTGCCGTTAACGTGCAAGGCGAAGACCAGAAGAAGCTCGACGTCGTCTCCAACGAGGTTCGTAACTCGTAGCTGTGATTTGTGAATGCGTAATCAGAAACCACAAGAAATTACTACCATAAGTAGAATTAACAAACCGTCCTTTGTATTCCATCTAAATGGCAAAACCAGACAAAGAATAACGCTGGAAGATTGATCGATAGGAGGATACGTACAGTCAGAACCAGTAGAGAAATAATCATCCTTAATTTGCAGTTGATTGGCCATTAATTTCCTGTTTTCCTTCTTTCTAAGATTATTCTGTTGCCAAAGTGTCAACGCGTCTTCTGTTCAATTATGAACATTTGTTTGGTCATTATCGGACAATGGCAAGGAGATTAGGAGTTCACTTTGGCTCCTTTTGAAAAGGGAGAAAATCCTCCGTTTCACGGTGATAGTAAAACCACATCACTGGTGTTACGATGAAATTTCTAAAATTCTTCTAAAACAAGGGAGACGTGGCTCTGTTATCCACCGTAAAAAAGAGGATTTCCTAGCAGAAGTTTTCTTACTAGAGACGATGCTGTATGGGGGACCCATTTACATCATTGACCATTCTCTGTTGTTTTTAATTATTCAGGTGTTCTCTAATTGCTTGAAATCAAGCGGGAGAACGGGGATTATAGCATCAGAGGAAGAGGACGTGCCGGTTGCGGTGGAAGAAAGTTTCTCCGGCAACTACATTGTCGTATTCGATCCTCTCGACGGATCCTCCAACATCGATGCCGCTGTTTCAACTGGTTCCATCTTCGGCATTTACAGCCCCAACGATGAATGCCTCGCCGACGCCGGTGATGACTCCACGGTTCATACATATCTCTCCGATATATCACTTGCTAATTTGTCTATATATATATATATATATATATATAATTTCAAATTAAATTCTCATTTTGACACGTGGCAACAATGCAGCTGGATATATATATAATTTCAAATTAAATTCTCATTTGACACGTGGCAACAATGCAGCTGGACCAAGTGGAGCAGAGGTGTGTGGTGAGTGTATGCCAACCTGGCAGCAACCTATTGGCAGCAGGGTACTGTATGTACTCGAGCTCGGTGATATTCGTGCTGTCGATCGGAAAGGGAGTGTTCGCGTTCACTCTGGACCCCATGTACGGGGAGTTCGTTCTAACCCAAGAGAACATCCAGATACCAAAATCGGGGAAGATCTACGCGTTCAACGAAGGGAACTACCAGCTGTGGGATGATAAACTGAAGAAGTATATCGATGACTTAAAGGATCCGGGTCCCACCGGCAAGCCCTACTCCGCCCGATACATCGGCAGCCTCGTCGGCGATTTCCACCGGACGCTTCTCTACGGTGGAATCTACGGATACCCAAGAGACAAGAAGAGCAAGAATGGGAAGCTAAGACTACTGTACGAGTGCGCACCCATGAGCTTTATAGTGGAACAAGCTGGTGGCAAAGGATCAGATGGTCACCAGAGAATACTCGATATTGAACCAGTCGAGGTAACCAACGAACTTAACTACCTAATTAACTAACATTTTGTTTTTGCATGTGCTTATCATTTTATCAATACAATCTCCTTCAAAGTTCAAGAAGATTGACTTGCAGGTCAAGTCAATTTGGTTATTGACCATATATAGTGTAACTTTGGTGAATTATATAGTTACCAAGATCAAATCATTTTTAATCCCGATGGTTTCTGGTTTGCTTTGGCAGATTCATCAGCGTGTTCCGCTTTACATTGGAAGCCTAGAAGAAGTTGAGAAGTTAGAGAAGTTTTTGGCTTGATTTGATAATGTCCTCAAAGCTTAAGACAGATAATCCTTATTTTGATCATGAAAAGGCTTATCAAGTTTTTAATTGGCTAGATAAGCTTAATAACTTGGAAGAGGCTTATCAAGTTATTATTTATTTATTTATTTTGTATGTATCATATCTCATCATGTAATCTCATATCCAATAAACTTCCTATAAATTTCCTCCAATTTATTATTCGGTCATGAAAAAAGAGTATAGATTTTAATTTTCCAAAATTTATTAACCACTTTCCTTCAATATGAATGATTTCAGATCAGTTACCCACACATAGGTGCCAACAGTCCCAACTAGCCATTGCTTTTCCAGGAGATATCCTCAATGTGTGGCTGCAGTGGCCTTTGTTGGGACTTGGGTGCTTGTTGGTAGCAGATCCCTACCGAATATGGACATGATATAATCCTTTATAATTGCAGAATTATTATAAGAATATCTCGAATAAGATGATTTCAACAGTCAGATGATTCAAAGGGTATGGTTTCTTCTCTCTGCATCGGATTCTCTCAATCAAAATAAATCGGCTAATTAAATCTTAAAAATCATAATATATTAATTGAAAAGCGTAACTAGAAAGCTGAAACATAGCCTTCATATCTGCGAAGAACAAGTTACATGAATCTAAAATCTCTGTTTAAATAATGAAAATTTAAAAGTGGAAGACTAACTCGAGTCTAAAGGAACACTCCATGGTGCTGATAATCTTAAGATTAATGATCAAAATTTTTGTGACAAAAACCAAAAGAAAAGAAAATGACAAGAAATTGAGAACGTGGCTTAACATTTTGCTTGGTTTTTAAAAATGACCCGGAGATTGAACCGGTCAGGGGTTCAGTTATCGGATCGAATGGTCTGAATGGTTGGTCTGTTCAAACAAAAAATATAAAAAATAAAAAACGGTCAAAACCGTTTGAATGATTAGCCATCCAGGCCAGTGGTTTGCTGATCAAAATCAATGGTTTTAGACAAATTTCTAATTTTGGGGAAAATCGAAACTAATCACCTGACTTTTTCCGATCCGACTGTCCAATCTGGTCGATTTTGAAAAGCATGGCATTTTATGTATACGTTCACAAAAGATCCTTGTGAAATTCACATCGAATACAGCCCTAACAAACAAAATCATCGAGTTAGGGTTTTCGAAATTTTTCATCGGAATACAGTTGAGAATACAAAAAGTAGATTAAATACCAAAAATTTCGATATGCAGACCGGAACTCACCCCTTTGCCGTTGTTTTAATGTTGATGAGAATTTTAAACCATCTCCTTTTCCTATGCAAAAAAAAAAAAATGTATCTGATAACAACAAAATGCTACCAATCCTATCCCAACAAACCACTGTAGCCTCACATTGGAAACATTTCTTTTATCATTCATGCCGAGATGTTTCCGATGGCCCGTTGGGACCCTGTTAGAATCTTCTATTGGTAGTTGATCTGAACTCCTACTTGTATTGTTTTAATTTTTACATTTCACTAAAAGCATTTTGGAACCAAAAACAAATAGGAGGTTGATTGTTCCGATTGGTTTGTATTGTTAATTGAGTTGGGATTTTCTGCCAATAAAATACATTATAATTCTCTATTAATTTTATCTAATACCACACATCTTATCATGAGACTGGGACTCGAATCAGGCTGATAGAGGGTTGGAACGTGTTTTGTTGACAAGTGATCGGCCTCTTGTTAATTTGCTTTAAATATGGGTAAATCATGGTTTTTAAAACTGAACTGGTGACCAAAACAGTTAGGGGTCCGGTTACCGGTTCAAACAGTCCAACCATTTGACCCGAATAGTCGGCCCGTTCTCACACAAAAAAATTTAAATTGAAAAACGGTCAAAATCGTTCAAATGGTTCGAATGGTTAATCGGCTGGTTCAGCGGTTTGCTGACCAAAATCAACGATTTTGGGGAAAAAAGCAGTTCTGGGGGAAAACGGAACCGGTCAGGTGACCGGTTCCCAGTTTTTCCGGTTCGGCCATCCAGTCCGGTCCAGTTTTGAAAACCATAGGGTAAATTACAAGGAACTACCCTGTATTTTAGGCAATGTTTTCAATACCGGACTAGACTGGAAGGCCAGATCGGAAAAACAAGAAACTGGTCACCTGATCTGTTCCATTTTACCCCAAAACCATCTTTTAGCCAAAAACTGTTGATTTAGTCAACAAACCGCTGATTCGAGTGTTCAAACGATTTATTCGATTCAAAAGTCGGACCGTTAGACCAAAAACTGGAACTTGAACGAATCATTGTCCGGTTCGATTTTAAAAAGCTTGATTTTGGGAGTGATGACACTTATGTCCTGAACTCTCACTTCCGACTCTCGACAACCTACCCAATACTTTTAGATTCCAACGCTCCGCTCCCTCTCTCTTAGCAGGTCTCATGGTAAGGTTAAATTTATCAAAATGCTCATTCAAAATATAGGGTACTCTGTATTTTACCTTTTTCCGTTTTTTTATCTAATAAAAACAAAAATAAGAAAAACACTCTGCAACCATTCCTATAAACCCCGAGGCCAAGACCAACCTGGTTTCTCCAAGGTTACAGTATTAGAAATTGAAAAGTCAGTTACAAGAGACCTCTGCCGCTGCACTAGTTATTGGCCCATTTGCTGATGTTTGCAAAAACTTTGTAGCTGATGTTGATTTAGGGGACCTGGGCCTCAATAGTTTTTGGAGAAAGGATGAGAATAAAGATGAGATATTGAGTAGATTACCCTTCTACGGCCATAGTACTAAAATATGTTTCTTTCCTAAGCTTTTGAAAAGGGAACTCTAAGTCCAAATTAGTTTTTTATTTCAATGAGTATTATTGGTACAGTGCTACCAGTATTGAGGAACTTCAGAGTCTATTGAAAACTGAAGATGGAAACCCGGTAAAACTTGCTGTTGGTAGGGAGCAAAGGAAAGGGGTAGGTTACTATAATAAGGAATTAAGGCTCAATTTGAAAAAAAATACAAATACAAATATATATGATGTAAATATATATAAAATATATGATTTTGCACTCTACATATTTGTATTTATACCCCTTCCAAACTGAGCATAAACCAATACCAAAGGTACATTGGGATAGGCCCTAAAAGTTGCTAATTAGGTCGCTGAAGTGAGCACTAGAGATGTGCACGTCACCTGTTTGAATAAAGACATTCTCTTAATGTTGTCTTCCCGTTCACCGGGTGAATATAAAAGACAAAAATGATTTAAAATTCTCATTTTGAATTATTCGAATTCCCCTTTCCCTATTTTTTCAATAGACTCTTAGCCCTAGCCCTAGAGCAAGAGGCCACCGGCGATTCCGAATACAACTGAACTCCGGCGTGGCAAGAATCAACTGGTGGTAATAAATAACCGGTGATGAGCATCTGTTCGTTTCAGAGGACGAAGAAATGGTGGTTAGTATTTGAATCTTCAAACTTTAAAGATTTTGCTTGCAAGTATCTTCTAAGAATAGTCTCCACCTCCACCATGGAATAACAGAATTAATTCTTTCTACACAAGGGGTAGAAACAAACTAATGATCCATTTTTCAGTAGGGGAAATGATGTATCTGATTCCATTAACAAGAAACAAAGAAACAACTTCTTGAAAATTGTACACAGAGACAAGTTGATTTTATTCTGCTGAAAGTTTTTAATTACATCATCAAATGATAAGGGCCATTATAAACAAACTGATAAACGCCAGTGGTTTCGGTTATTAATTTCTCAACTGCACGAAATCAAAATAATAAGAAAACCAATACATATTATTATTATTATTATTATTATTATTATGTAAGGAGCTGACAGCACATTGGGCAGATGATTAATACATTTTGTTGCATTATAATCAGTGGTTGGACCATCCATCATCAGTCCCTTCATCGGGAAGCACAGCACGAATCCCTGTGCAACCGTCACGTGGGCTACCAGAGTAATCGGCCAGGATTCCTTGCAAGAGCGGCTAAAGCTTCCCTTGCTCGTGCAAGCTCACCACATCTTACGCTCCTCCGATGTATTTCCCCCTTTCAAGAGCAGTCGGGTTGCAAGAGCGGTAAACAACGAACAGATGATTACCGCTGTTGATGCTTGGATTGGTCGAGTACAATATAATAAATTTGTTTTACTTCTTGAACGAGCTGGCTAGCCAAAGGACCCGAGGGGCACTGAGTCCGAGGGCCTAGAAGGATTCATGGATTATTGAGGCAGAGGGCTTGAGGAGCGCAGGATGTATTGCATACAAGGGTTGGTGAAGTCTGCCCGAAGTTGGCTGAGGTCGGAAGGGGCCGAGTACTTGCGAGGAAGGGAATATTAGAGGCCCCGGATGATAATCTGAGGCGGGAACTCTAACAGTTAAGTTAGTGAGGGTATAGCAAAGAGGACAAACAAGGCCCAAGGAGCTTGGACGAGATTGCCAAAAAGCTAGGGAGCAAGAGGGTTTGGAGAAAATGAAAAGTCTGGCCCCTTACCTTGGGAAAATCATGCCCTATTTATACTTAAGGTCAACTAAAGGTGGATGGATGCAAACAGTAAGAATGCGATCCGGCCCGGGGTGGGTGGTCATCCCAACCCACCATGCATAATCACACGATTGGTCCCGCGCTGGATGCTGACCTTTGCCCTAACAAATGCGCTGATTGGCTTTGCCCTTGACCACATGTCAATGTGTCAAAGACCTACTTAAAGCGCCTACATCAACCGCCAGTTATTTTTTGTCGCTGTCAGAGTTCAATTGTGCTCAGAACTTGCCGATGGTCTTTTGCTCTAGAGTTAGGGTTTGGTTGAAAAAAATGGGGTAAAGAGATTTTCAATGATTCAAAATAAGAGATTTTGTCTTTTTTTGACAGGGTGAACCGTATTCACCCGCTTAAGAGGAAAAGTAAACAACATTAACATTAACAGAAGTGGCTTCATTCAAATAGGTCACGTGCACGCCTACTGTTGGTGGGTATACGCTCACCCTAAAGCGATGGGTTCACTGGATTTGTTCTATCAATTTGGTGGTTGATGTTTAACCTTAACTTATTCGATAAGTT